GCTATGGCTTCTACTGTGTCTGTACATCAAGAAGAAGGCCTCTCTTCTTGAACCACCACTAATCTATGCACTACATTCTTTCTCATTACATATGCCTAGCTTAAATGATTGTAAAGTTTAAAGGCATTTCTCATGGCATGAAAAAACAAAACCAGCATGTATCTATTTATGACAAACATGCAAAAACACATATTAAAATACAATTTAGAGTAAAGCTAGAGAACTTAAATGGCAAGAAACAAAAATGCAACAGCTAAAAAATAAAGACATGATCATGTTACCTTGATAAACCTTCCATGCAAGGAAGATCTAGAAATATGAAAAAATGAATGAAAACAAAAGGAAAAATAAAAGGGTTATAAAAGCTTAACATACTGTAACATCATTGAACAGGGAGGAGGATTACTGTATATAAAGTACGCTTACTACATGTACAGCACAATCTGCAATGGGCATGGGTTTGCCTTCAGGGTGGGGTTGATAATTTATTTAAAAATTCAGTTTTTGAATTGCAACTGCATTAACCACCGTTCGAAATTTACTGTTCATACAAAATAACAGGCAGTGTTACAGTCTAACCATATCTCCCATAGCAGAAATTTAAAAAAAACAACTTGAGTATGTCTACAGTTTCAAAGTAGATGGGCCTCAGTAAGTAAATCTAGATCATACTGCCTATTTAACAACACAGGTTCATTTTTTTTTCCTAAAAATATCTAGTAGTGTCTACAAAAAATAGATATATCTACTTAAAATTCTTACAGATACACTACTGTTTTCAGATAGCAAGCATTCAAATAAAGTAAATGTTGCTCATTTACTATAAAAGGAAAATTACTTTAAGAATTACCAATTTTTAATGTGATGGACGTACCACAAGTCTCTAATTTATTGACTTTTTGTAATGTTAGATAATTTCGAAGAGCGCCACCAGCATCTGTTTTTGTTATATCGTTGAATTTGGATGAGAATTAGAACCTAATCCGAGAAAAGGTATACTATGGGACGCCATACAAGTAATATGGAACGCCATTGGTACCAAAAAATAATTATTTCTTTGATGTTTTGATATTCTATATGTTTTCTATATTAATTGTAGTGTACTAAAGACAATTTTCTGATATATTTTATATTAGACCCAATAAATGCTGTGGATAGCAGCGCATTCATATAGACAAAAACAATACAGTTTTGCTGATTTCGGTACTGTATACCTTATAAAATTAGAAAATTTAAGGGGGTCAATAAAGATTAATACTGTACATCTGTAAATTGGTGAATGAAATATTTCTTGTTTTAAGTTTTGAAAAGAAAGCTATTACCAACATATTTTTTTAATACATAATAATTCAAATATTAAATTTAGTTGTTGGAGTTGACTTGATAAATACAGACATACTGCACCTCTTCCAACACTACATTCTCATTATAATAATTGCATTATCCCTTAACTTCATCACCCTACTAAATGTCCCCTTCTCCTAAAAAACTTTCTCAATGGATGTTAACACATTCTGTAACAATAATCACATCACAACAATTATAGTAAACCTGTGATCTAATGTCACGAGAGAAGACAGAAAAGCAATATGGTTTCCTCCCTTCTTTGGCGAAAAAGAGCATAAAATAATGAACAAGTGTATTTGACAGGAAAATCACTACAGTTGGCAGTCAATTGTTTGACATCTCATATACTCACCTTCTAAATGTATCTCAAGTTCCTGAGTAAAACGAGTTGTCTAAAATATATTTATCATCAATAAATACTTTTGCTTTCATCTGTTTTTTTTTAGAAAGAAAATACCTAAAGTGTTTTGTGATGCTATGAAGCATTATTCATCTACTTGGGTGTGTCAGTGTGAATGTCATATTGTACATGTTGATACAGTATCATGGTTATTAATCAATCAACAACCATTTCCTTTTGAAATGTAATACACAGTAATTTACTAACCACCATCTTGTACGTACTGTATGTAGGTCGACAGTATTATAGATTGTGATTCTAGATTCACTTAATTTTCTTTATTTCAATTTGTATAGAATAAGACTACCACTAACGGGTATAAACGACAAGGCTTTGAGGATTACAGAATAATAGGGGCAGGATGCTGGGTATATGAATGGATATACAGCACAATAATGATAGGAATTACGCTGGATGGGTGGATGGATGGATAATGATATGGGCATGATGTTGAATGGTCAGATGGATAAAGTGGATGATACTGATATGGGCACAGTGTTAACATTGGCAGAATGTTGGATGGATGAATAATTATATTGATACTGTATGGGCATAAGAGTGGATGGATGATTTATTAATGGTCAAAATTATTAGACTATTTATTCACCAAGATTTTTTTTCTTGGTAGAACCATTTTAATAAAAAAAACCAAGAATATATTTTCTTTTTTTTCTGCCCTCCTCTAATAAAGATTTTTCAAAAATGAAGTTCACAGAACAATGTATACAGTACATAAAATTGTCATAGGAAGTCAAATGTTGTCATTAGAAAATTTCCTTATGTTTTATATAGGAAATAATCTTAGGACCTTGTAGTTGGAGGACCAACAATTAATTGCTTTTTATGAAATGATGTAAGAAAAAGATTTTTGAGCCAAAAAAGAGATAGTTTCTTCTACATGGATTAAAAACACATTCCAATAATGTGACATATTAACATCATTACTGCAAATGCAGCTGTGGCAGATGTGGGGGTGGGGGTGGGTAGAAGACGGTGCGATCACATCCCCATAAATTATATTAAGAAAACTAAATGTTGTACTTCATTGTTGATATATTATTTTTATCATTATGAACATCATTATCGGTAAGATTTTTTAGGTACAAGTGTGCAATTTCCGGGCACCTACAGTAGAGGTCAATATTTTCACACGCACCCCCAGCACCAAATCTTGCATCGCCCCAGGGCAGCGATGTACACACAATGGTAAAAGACAGTTTGCAAATCATTCACATGATTTAAAGAATTACCTATTTATTTTTAGCATTCATTTGGGACATCAAATCATATACTGTATCAGAATCATAAGTGAATGACACATCCAATTTACCAGTTATAAATTAACAATCCAGAAGTTCCCTCTTCTGATTGGTTATGGCAACTGGAACATTCCAGAAATAAATCAAATTCATGAAAGCTATTAACAAGTACTTAGTAATTATTGTAAATTACTTCATTTGGGAAAATTTAATTAACATTTATCACCCAAACAACAGGATATTAAAGTTTCTGATTAAAATATATTAAATTGATATTTCAATTAGCTGATAACATTTCACAAGGTAATTATTTAATTAAACATTGTTGATCGAATTATGTACTGCAGGTGCCTTTCAATTATTTACATCAATTTATACTTCAACATTGAAGGTATTGTTAATATACTGTAAAGTAGTTACTTTTGTGAATGACTTTTTTCTTTGCATTACAGTAAATTCATAACTTTTAGGACCGAAGGTAATGTACTACCATATATACTTCCTTTTATCATTAGTCTTTTTTTTTTAATAATAAAAAAAAAACCATTGGCTTCATTAGTTTGTTTTAAATGCATTTGTTGTTTGGCAACTTTAAAATACTGTGTCTACTATAAGTTTGAAATATCAATTATTTTCTAAATATATTTTCATCCCATTAAAAATTTTGAAACCAAAGGAAGGAAACAGGATGATAAACAATCAGTTGACTTTGAGAAGAAGGCCACAAAGGTCAAAAGGTAATTTCTACTTTGGTTTATATACCATGCAGTAGCTCAATGTACTATACAGTACTACACTTCACATCTAATTTAATTTCCTATTCTCAATGTAGAGTTTATAGAAACAATCTTATTTAATAGAATTTCCAAGTCTAAAATATGCTACAATACAATGAGATAAAAGGATAATACCTTTATTATATTTAATACGTTATTACTGTTTAGTAAACTTTAATTGTGATCGCAATTACTGCCAAGTCTGTGTGACAGCTTGCCAAAATTTACCAAAACCGATACTGATTATGCAAATGTACTCAAAGTAAAATTATAAGTGCTGGCTAGACAACACTATAAATTAAACAAAATAAACCCCCATTATTAGAGTGCCTCTAGTAATGGGGATTCATTTCAACAGTACAACAAACTTGATTAAAAACTAAAAAGCAACTAGGAACACTGTAGATGTGTATTGAGAAAACATGTTACAAAAGTATTGGCCAAGAAGAACTTGGTGTTTGGTAGTTTGGTGCTCAAACTCCAGTCCCCACCGTCCCCTGTTTAAATCTAGCAGATACTATAAATTAAAGAATTTTCTTTCACAAAATTAGTGAAATACAGTACAGGTTTCCCTTCAACTAAAAACCACTTTTGGGACCAGGGTTTCTATAGTCTTTAGCAGCTTTGGTGTCTAATTAGAATAATAAAGATAAAAGACATTTGTTAGTTTGAAACCACAAAAAACAGGTCTTTACTTGGAGGGGTCTTTAATTAGAGCGAGACCTGTATTTGCTTTTTTAGATGTTTATGATGAAAAGAATAATTCTAATTATGCATGAAAATGATGGGTTGCCCATGGTTCAATTCAATTCAATTTTTCCAGAAAACACTCACCAAATTAATGTAGTCCTTTCTGAAAACTCACATTCTAGTTTTAATTCAATCTATTTTCTGACTAGATATTTTTTGAGTGTGTATGTTTTAATCTTAGTTATTGGAAAACCAATTTTGTTAGCTAAATTAAAACACACTTTCTAGTTTGGTATAAAACTAATTTATACCATTTATACATCTAAATTAAGTGAGTGATCTATATCTTGAAAGACTGTTAGTCAAGTTATAAGTATATAAAGGTGAAAAACAGAACTAGTTTTTGTTTAGTTCTGATTGAATTATGGTGTTCAAACATAAAAATAATAGAAAATAAAATTTAGTTATGTTAATTATAGTGGACAAAATGCAGAATTCAAAATCAAAAAATAAATGAATATGTCGAACCAAGGGTAATATTGATTCCAGCCCTTCCAAGCACTCCTCTTGCTTCTGTCGGAGGTCGTAGTCATCCCACTCTAATTCAGAGTCCGCCGTTGACGGAAAATTGGAGTAACGGTGGAAATTATTCTGATTATTACGATTATAGTAACGCCTGTCTTTTAGGTTGCGCTGTCCTCCGCTCCCCAGATCATAATTGTCCCACTCCAAGTCGCCATCATTATAACGCCCTCTCCAGTTTCGTCGCTGTTGCTGCTGGCGCCCATTGTAGTAGTTGCCATAGTAATTGTTATAATTTCTAGGCATAAGAAATTGATGATGGAAAAACTAAAAGGGGAAAAAAAGATGGCAGGTTATAAATGGAGGCTGAATCACCTGGCCTGTATGGCAGACTTGAACATGGACTGCTGTGGCACAGTGGATGACTGCAGGACGTTTTGTTTACGTTACATTGGCATCACTCCAACTTCCATCAGACCTGCAAAAAGGATGAAATTTTATATAAGAAAATATTTGTAATTTCTTTTTCTTAATTCAAATAAAATAATTTGCAAAATCTTTGCAAGATCACAATTCCTTCTTTAGTAGAAAAGGAACATGACCGAATATTGCATACTGTTATCTCTTCTTTCATCTCCCACAACCACAGGCAATCCAACCCCAACTGTTCATTTTTTTGTACAGTTGCAGACTACAGTTAACATTTTCCTCAAAAAATTGGTATAAATGACAAATGGCTCCTAAAAACATCAGGTGATTTTTCTAGAAGAGACTTATACTGTTGGCTATTATACTGTATGTGACATGATTTAATGAATTGCACTATAAACAACATCGGAGCAAAATTCCACAATACAGTACCTATTGAATTCAGACTTATACTGACTGTATACAACTCACTTTGATGAAGGAAGTTATGTTGAGAATATTAAAACTACTGTAACTCCCCATAGCTACAGATGTCACACTTCAACAAAGTACTTAAAAAATTAACCAAGAACCAAAATCCAGTTGCATCAGAAAGCTCCATTAACTACTATATTTTAATGTTTTGAGAATGTTTTTTGTCTGAGCATTGTACACCTGGTTTGTTATTATTATGAAGTTTTCGAGGAAGGAAGAACACACTGTAGTAATTTTAACTGTTCTTTTTCTGATCTTTGTCTGCAATTGAGTGAATGACAGCGGCAGGAGAGCTTCGGAGACATTCTCAGTATTCTCACACACATTGGATGCCTTTCCTCTCATAATAGTATCAACTATGATTCACCATTTCCACTCTGGATCTGACACATTCACTCACCCCAGAACAATAAGAAAACATGTAGGCAGTTCAACTCAAGAGAATTTGTCCAACTTGAGAGGTTTTCGAAGCAGACGACGATTTAATTCAATTTCGAACAATAGAGATCAAATCCGACGATAGGATCCACATAAGAGAATCAAGGCCATTATGGTCAACTATGGATATAAACAAGGAATGCAGTGCCAACTATAAATCATAAGCAATGTGTACTGTACCACTGTCTATAATTTATGTTGCAGGAATAAAAAAATTATTTACCCAGGTACACCATTGCCAAAACAACTTGAAAAATGTATTATTAGTACAGCAGATCGGACTTTTGAAAATACTGTACTGAATACAATGTACAGTACATGTACAGTTTTGTGACTGTCAAGGGTATAGAGATTTAGATTAGCTTGTTTGATGTGAGAACTCAAGATTGAAGTTTTACATGTAGTACTGTATAATAGGAAAGTTTTAATTAATAACTACAAACACAAGTTTGGTTAGATTTTAAATGTTTTTGTGAAAAATGCAATCAAATATTTTGTATCTTCAGCGTAATAAATTAATATATTTTAGTGTTTACATACTGTAATACAGTAGGTAAAATCAACAATTACCATACTACATACAGTAGTGCCAATAAGATTACCATAAATAATAATAATAATAATAATAATAATAATAATAATAATAATAATAATAATAATAATATTAATTAGTTCATTCTTATATAGCGCAAGTAAGCAAGCTCTTAATGGGCTGTACATAATAAACAGAATAAGGATGCCATGTTAAAATAATGAAAAACTTGATGGAAAAGAAAGGTCTTTAGCTTGGTTTAAAAAGAGATATGTGGAATGCCCAAAGAAATAGGCACTAAAGTATCAGGGAGGGATTTCCATATTCTGTCTGTGTTAAAATAATAAACTTATAAACAATAAAGTTCAACATTTGAATTGCCTTGTTTTCTTTATTTAGTTTTTGGCTTTCACTTTCAATATAACAGAAATATTTTCCCATGCCATTTTCATTACCAATAATGGACACCTAAGTAATACAGTTTTTACACAGCAAAATTCCCTTTACCCTTTTGTCTGATCAATCTAAGAATTTTTATAGAAAAACTTCGGAAAATTGATAAATTATAGTTGAGATACTTAAAGAGCACTTGAATGTTTTAATTTAATTTTGAGTATTATGTGAGTCTTACGTGCTCTGGATACGTAAATTTGGCCAAATTGCATTCCAGAATCTACTCAAGAGGTTACCTTAACGTTCTCACATGCGCAAATGACTTTTAGGGACGTCATGGCATTCTACGTCCTACCGTCGTCGTGCAATCGAACTCTCCCTAATCAGAACACAGTAAAGTGTATTAAAGCTCAACCTCATGGCCAATGTTGAAAATCTGTGGGCCACAGTGAGCAAAAAGCGAAAGGAAATGCGGTCCAGCATGACTAGCCTTAATTAGGCAAGGTAGTGATTTCAATAAATCAGATGAAAATACTCCGAAATGGAAAGTTAACCAGTATACTGTCTGCTCTCCTCCTCTTAAGGGAAAATGTAGGTCGTAAATGACATCGAAATTCGAACATACTGTTCTCTATGCCTAGGACTAGCCTAGGTAGTTAACCACGGTTTTGAAACATGATCAATCTAAGGTAAGAAATAACAAACAATATTCTAATTGTTTATTAGTTAATTACAACATTGCTCATGTGTTGAAAGCTGGTAAACTATATTTCAATATTGTTTATGCATTGCTTATCAGCCCCGACGATCGAGCCTATGATCACTGCAAAGCTAATTAAAATAACAATGACCTTCATAAGGGTTCGTAGCTATTCAAAACGGACCTACGAGCATGCTACGAGTGGATACGCGCAGATACGAAGCGATAATTCATGGTTGTACTGTAAGCCCAGGCCCTGCTTAGCCTCTTCGCTTTATAAGAGAGTTGACATACAGTACTCAGTCTTTGGTCTAATCTACTATTTACATGACAAAATATGCACTAAAACACTGAATATACTGTAAAACTGATATAAGGCCTACTAGCACTTATACTGTAGTACCGTACTGTTTTAAATGGAGTATAGTATATTTCAACTTCAATTTTCATAAATTGGCCAAAATTCGCCAATTCTAATTTTAACAGATATTAATTAATAAATGATTAAGGATTATAATAAACTAAGTCATTTTAGGGTTAACGAGGGTAAACTATTCGAAAAATGAATTAAAAATCTGAGTATTTTTCGGTTTTACGCTGACTTAGCTTTATAGTTGAACCAGTTAATCTTTAGACAAAATTATAATGAACACAGAAGTAATTTTAACATAAATATTTTACGGAATCCGTTCCAGAAATATACAAATAATAACATACCAAAAGCCCGAAAAAATCTAATCAGGGGAACATTGTTCATTATAAAGATATTTAATGGGTTAAAATCAAACGCTTTATTGCACAACTGCTCTGCTGGAAGCGTATAAATGCATGTCGTTGGCAAGTTGTTGCTAACGAAAAAATGTGAATTATAGGGTAATACGCCCGCGCGCGATCAAAAAGCGGGGAACACATAGGTTTGTGGCGTCAAAGGGATCTGTTGCCGAGTGATCTCCTTCTCAATAATACCTCCATGATATAACCTAGGCTACTTGGAATGAAAATTAGGATGAGATTTTAGGCGTTGAGAACTTCAGACTTGGTATGACCATGGAGACTGATACATGCCACCAAAATAGATCTATCACTACAGCAGGGCTGCCGCAAAGCGAAGAATCTAAGCAAGGCCTATACCTTGTTCTTCGTCAGGCGAGGAATTTAGGCAGGCCTAGAGGTCTATATTGACATGACTCTCTTTCTGAGTGGAACTATGCGCCTATTTATCATTGACAACATTACCATACAGTATTGCACTTTCTGATGTTCAATTACGCAGTACAGTACTGTAATACATCGTTCGTGTTTCATCACTCATCGTGAGTGATCTACATTGCCAGTCTTGAAAAATGACGTCACGCACATTCTGGCAATTCATTTGTTGATGGCGATGTATGCCATTTACCATACCATTAGAAAATGGAAGTAGAAATACAGTACCGTATCCCTAGCCACAGCGTTGAATTTATTACTAAAACTAGGCCTATGTAATGGCCCTGTCACACCAATTTAGCCAGCGTATGCCGACGTATGAAAAAAATGGTGAATACGCTGAAGCACGCTGGTATACGTCCTAGTACGGCGTATGCCAGCGTATGGCTTGTACAGTACGTTCCACATACGCGGTCCATAAGTTGTAGGTAAGTTAAGCGATCGTTGACACACGTTACTTGTAAGTTACTCAAAAGTCAAAAGGTATTTCTAACCTATGAGTAACATGCTTCAAACTTATATGTAACTTATAACGAACTTATCTTGGACGTATGTAGACGTATTTGACGAGTTCCAGACGACCACAAAACTTACTGAAAGTGTTTATAACTTGCAGTTATCGTATAAATGGCATATTGGCAGCACTTAGGGAAATAGGTATACTGTATTAAAATGGGGTGATGTCAATACGGTGATGTTGATACTGCGATGTCTAGTGAATCTATTTGAATCGACGAGCAGCAGCATTTTTATAGGCTACGTCACGTGATAATCGGCGATACACTGCCGTGCGTTGTGCATAAGGTAGACTCTTGCTGGGCATAAGTTGTGAACGCTGGCAACACGTTAAGCATTTGTTCGTGTAAGTTTTCTATAAGTAATCAAAACATTCTATATAATTTACTAATACAATATTTATATGTCCAATACATTATGAATTCGCTATGAATGCGCCCAAAGTTGAAAAAAAAGCATCGATAGTTCAGCTTATGCCAGTGTTTAAAAAAATTTTGATACGTTTTGCATACGCTGACTAAATCGTCAAGGTGTGACAGGGCCATAACTCAAGTAACTACACTGAGTTGGCGGACAGGTGAATAACTGATTTTTTACTCATGTTTACTCGGCGGACAGCCGAATATCTTTTACCTCATTTTAATCCATTTCTTTTGATTTTTATTATTCATCTTCATCGACATCACTATCCATATTATTTCATCAGTGATCTTTATCAGCAAAAATTCCGTAGTCGACTATCGACCTAATCTTGGATTACTGAAATTTTAGGCCCAAAAGTCCTTAGGTAACTCTTTAAATTCTTATCTAAATTCCCCGGACCACCTCCGTCTCATCCATCTTCTCCACCCTCACCTCAGGAATCTCCCACCTCAGCTCTCTTTCAGTCGATTGATCTGATCTGATTTCAATTCAAAGAAAGGCCTAGCGAGGAGAACCCTAGGGCCTAGCCTAGACTGGCATGATTAGCAAATTAACTGTTTAGTGCATTCTGATTTAGAGAATATAAATATATCTTAATATAGTTGAAACACGTATATAACATATCAATTGTAACTTACCTTCCACCCAAATACAGTCAGCTGAGCTTCCCACAGAAAACCAGGACAAAAATCAGCTTTTGTATGTTTACAAAAGAAAGTAAAGCTACCACAGGAGGAAAGAAAATAACAATGCGTCATTTCCGGTAGGTGGCGCAATTTATTTTGGATATGAGGACTTATAAATGCAGTAATACAGTTGCTCTATGCATCTCTATGCATGGAGGAATTACATGCTCTATCCATGGACCTATGCTCTATCTATGCCTGTGTCTTATTTCTCAAGCAGTCCAGAATGTTAATGAACATTCCTCGCGCTCGCTAAATTACAGATTATTATTTTCTAGCAGATTAGATTAGCATGAGGATTGTTTTAATTATAGATTTTAATGTTACGGTCGAATTCATTTGTATCATGGTGTCCAAATTATCAAGCTAGAGAGGCCGGGAGGAACCTCCTGCAATCCCGACACCAGAAACTACCCTATAACCAGGTGTGAAATCATTTAGACTTTTTAAATCTGTAGCTTCAAGGGGACGCACACTGTCGTGCCATAGAGAATTTTCTCTATGGTCGTGCTCACCCCACCCCCGGCATCATGACAACTTTCAAAAAATGTAAGGCCTAATAGTCGCGAGGTCTTCAAACTGCTGTCCAGAGGGATAGGCCTATAGTGCAATAGATGTGTATAAGAGACAGTGTTGATACTGCGATGTCTAGTGCGGTTATGATTTGAATCGACGAGCAGCAGCATTTTTATAGGCTACGTCACGTGATAATCGGCGATACACTGCCGTGCGTTGTGCATAAGGTAGACTCTTGCTGGGCATACAGTAAGTTGTAATATATATAGTATATATATTATATATATTATATATAGTATAACATTATTATTATTATTATTGTTATTATTATTATTTATTTTTCCTTCGTTTACAGATGACCAAATCATGTGGCTGATGCTACGATTTTGAAAGATACCGTAATAATCAGAAACTGCTATAGTAGGCCTATGTTTGTTTTCACGGCTATTGCAGAAACCCACCAATCCATGTAAAAATTGTTTTTCACATTTGAGAACAATAGATATACTGAATTCCATTTTTAATGGGCCTATATCTGGCATTCATATCAATTGTTTTGAAGCTGTTTGTTTTAAGTATATTATAGCTCTATTTATGATGCCCATGTTTTATGATCATCCTTCCGTGGCCGATCAACAAAAGGTTTAGAAATTTTACAAGTTTACCAAGCATGTAACTGCTTGTGTTAATTAGTCTGAAACCATTGCAATTCAAAGAGAGAAGAATAAGCTGATGTTTTCTTTTCCTCATGGCTATGTGGGGACATGCACCGTTGACCCTTTCGGCTTGTTTAGCGACAGTGACTGTGTTAGAATAGAAACAATTTAAAAAATAAATAAAATAGGTATCTTGCAAGAGGAAGGTTGTTGACAGAGTTTTCAGATGGGTTGAGGTTGTAACTATGCTGCAATAGGGGGGGTCATCTTATCAAAATTATTATGCAAGACCAACCCAGAATCGTGGTAATTAGTCTACTACTAACACTTCGTGGATGCAAATGGTGCGCACGCTCTGGCATCTTGACGTTGAGAAATTCCTTTTATTTAATACAATTATTATGACATGGTACGGTAGGAAAATTATTACACTGAAAACATTTAATCACTGTCGGCTTCCCCTCGCCCACCCCTAAATTGTTCAAAATATTTTTAAATGGAGATATAAAGAAAATTATATTCAAATTTTTAGTCAGTGAGAGTGCAATTTCCGGCCATCAGGTGCAATAATTACAAATTTTCTTACGTCAGCCCCAACCATGGTGGGACTCGGAGGTGTTATAGATCTTCCATCTGTGAAAGTACCTCCCCGGGCCCCCTCTATTTTGAATTCTTGAATCCGCCACTGTATAACATACTGTATTGGTGTTTATTGAGAATTTTGCATGCGAAATAAATTCTTTGAATTTAGTTTCCTTTCTGTTGTATAAACGTGGTTTCATTTTAATTAATAGCATAACTATGACATCCATACATAATTTATTTTTTATCTTTAAAGTACCATTAAAAATAATTATATACATAATATATGTAAAGTAGCAACGGTTGATATGGTATTTGAAATTATGTTTTTAAATAATTTAAAATGTATGGCTTATCATAAAACTATTTTGAAATAAGGTTAAGTCATAACAGATACGGTAATAATAATATCATTTAGGATCACAAAAAAGGTGGTGGCCATTTTATAGGTCCATGTTATTTTGAAAGATACATTTTAGAGGACAAAAAATAAATTCAGCAATTAAAAATTATCTCTTCGGAGATGTCTTGTCGTTTAAGATGGGAAGAAGAGGGCGTATCACATTGATATCTGTTTCACGTGTGTGCGTCAAATACTTTTGTACAAGGGTAACGCCAGCGGGTGGGGGCGGAGGGACCAGGCGCTTTATCCAGACGCTTTATCCAGACGCTTTATCATATTGAATTTACGCCGTGGCTAGAGATACGGTACCATATTTCTACCTCCATTTGCTAAAGGTAGGTAAATGGCATTACGTCACCATCACCCAATGAAGTGCCGAGCTGTGTGTGACGTCATTTTTCAAGAGCGGCATTGGCATTGCTGCAGATCGCCCACAGTGTCAGCGGTGTGACTGCGAAGGATATACTGGATTAGCACCTAGAACCTTTAGTTCAGTAATGATTTTCGTAGTTATTTTCTTTTAAATTTTCTGTTGATTTTTCTCTTTGGATTCACCATCATTTTGGATATGTGCCACTTTAATAACAGTGATTCCAAATAAAAACTAACTAAACTAAAACTACTATAGGCCCAGGCCTTGCTTAGCCTCTTCGCTTTATAAGAGAGTTGACATGTATTCAGTCTTCAAGCTTTGGTCTAATCTACTATTTACATGACAAAACTTGCACTAAAACACTGAATATACTGTAAAAGAAATAAATTCTTTGAATTTAGCTTCCTTTCTATGGATATTTATACCTATTGCTTTGTGTTGTATAAACATGGTTTCATTTTAATTAATAGCATAACTATGACATCCATACATAATTTATTTTTTATCTTTAAAGTACCATTAAAAATAATTATATACATAATATATGTAAAGTAGCAACGGTTGATATGGTATTTGAAATTATGTTTTAAATAATTTAAAATTTATGGCTTATCATAAAACTATTTTGAAATAATAAGGTTAAGTCATAACAGATACGGTAATAATAATATCATTTAGGATCACAAAAATGGTGGTGGCCATTTTATAGGTCCATGTTATTTTAAAAGATACATTTTAGAGGACAAAAAATAAATTCAGCAATTGATTGATATCAATATATCACCTGTGTGCGTCAAATACTTTTGTACAGGGGTAACGCCACCAGGTGGGGGTGGAGGGACCAGGGCCCCCGTCGGGGAGAACTGCAATTCGTAGGGGAGAAAA